AGGATGATAAAAAGAAAGAGAAGTTGAAAACACAAGGTGAAGCCTTGCGATGATTTAGATGGAGCTTCGCGACGAGACAATGCGGAAAACTTGGAACTCCGAAAAAGAAAAGATGAAAAAATGAAATCAAGAATTTTTATGAACCTCCGGAATAAGGAATTGAATTTACTCGATGAAACAAGAATAAGAATTACATTATGCTCATCCTTCACCAATTTAAATTGATGACAATCAACGGATTTGGCATACTACTTATTCTCGTAGAAAGAATTAAGAGAGATATAGCGTGAACTTGATAAGGTATAGATGGAACCACCGGTGGGATTGGAAACACCGAATGAAATGATACGGTAGCAAAGGAAGAGGAATCTTGAACGAACCACCGTAAGAATTGAGAATGAAAGCAGCAAAGGCACAATTCACCGGAAAGATTGAAGATACTTGAGAGGATTTAGATACAAGTGAACGAAGAGATCATGAGGTCATTAGAGAATACTTGAATAATGCACCGATAGAATATGGAGAAGGGGAGCTAAAAGCTGAGAACGAATAAACCCGAAATGATGGCCTTCGTAGGAATAAAATGGAAAGAACTCACGAAATGCTCCGGATGGTAAGAAAAGAATTATGACAATCGAAAACAATTATGAGAGGATGGCATCAAGCTTGAACTATGAATCTCTGGAAGAACGGGTAAGGATTTAAGAGGAACTCTTCTTCAATCTTCAACTGACGATGAGAAACACCACCAAAATTACTGAGATACTCCGGGAGAATGAAAAGCGAAGAGGTTGAGCCAACAATGAAAAGAATTTGAAAGATCTTGGAGAAAGACATATGACTTATGATAATTCATTCTTACGTCAAACTTGGAAAAGAATTTGAGAGTAACTCCGGGAAGGTTAGAAGAGTCAGGTAAGATCCTGGAAAAAGACCTGTGGGTTAGGGCCCACTCAAAAGAAAACACTGTTGAACGATTTTAAAGAGAGGTTGCACCGTTTGAATTAAATAGCTTGAATGAGATAACAATCTCCAAATAGCTTGAACGAATTAAGAATGGAAACATGAATCTTCTGAGATATCTTCAACACTCTGGAACAAATGAATAGCAAGAGGTGAGTGATTGAGAGGTGCACTAGCATGGGATAGCATTTGAAATGAGGAAAGGGATATGATCAACACCGAAAGCTTGAATTGGATCCACCGGAGAAGAAACAACAATGAAGGATGATGAACTTGAATCCTCCCACTTCAGCCCATGGGGCCCTCCGGGATGGGTGGGCCCACCCGGTGGACCCCCGGGACCCTTCCGATGGTCCCGGTACAATACCGGTAACCCCCGAAACTTTCCCGATGGCCGAAACTCGACTTCCCATATATAATTCTTTACCTCCGGACCATTCCGGAACTCCTCGTGACGTTCGGGATCTCATCCGGGACTCCGAACAACTTTCGGTTTGCTGCATACTAATATCTTTACAACCCTAGTGTCACCGAACCTTAAGTGTGTAGACCCTACGGGTTCGGGAGACACGCAGACATGACTGAGACTGCTCTCCGGTCAATAACCAAGAGCAGGATCTGGATACCCATGTTGGCTCCCACATGCTCCTCGATGATCTCATCCGATGAACCATGATGTCGAGGATTCAAGCAACCCCGCATACAATTCCCTTTGTCAATCGGTACGTTACTTGTCCGAGATTCGATCGTCGGTATCCCAATACCTCGTTCAATCTCGTTACCGGCAAGCCACTTTACTCGTACCGTAATGCATGATCCCGTGACCAGACACTTGATCACTTTGAGCTCATTATGATGATACATTACCGAGTGGGCCCAGAGATACCTCTCCGTCATACGGAGTGACAAATCCCAGTCTCGATCCGTGTCAACCCAACAGACATTTTTGGAGATACCTGTAGTGCACCTTTATAGTCACCCAGTTACGTTGTGACGTTTGGTACATCCAAAGCACTCCTACGGTATCCGGGAGTTACACGATCTCATGGTCTAAGGAAGAGATACTTGACATTGGAAAAGCTCTAACAAAACGAACTACACGATCTTGTGATATGCTTAGGATTGGGTCTTGTCCATCACATCATTCTCCTAATGATGTGATCCCGTTATTAATGACATCAAATGTCCATAGTCAGGAAACCATGACTATCTGTTGATCAACGAGCTAGTCAACTAGAGGCTCACTAGGGACATATTGTGGTCTATGTATTCACACGTGTATTACGATTTTCGGATAATACAATTATAGCATGAATAAAAGACAATTATCATGAACAAGAAAATATAGTAATAATCCTTTTATTATTGCCTCTAGGGCATATTTCCAACATGTTCGTCAAGTTTCAAAAAAGTTTCATCAGGTAATTCGATTATTTGCATGCTTCAGTAAAAAGATAAATATCTGGCAAAAAAAAAACAAAGATAAAGCCCATTTTAATATGTGTATTTATTTTCTTGTATACATTACATGTTGACATATATGTTCATGGATTTTATACATGTATATTACAAATAAACATCTATGTATACACGTTTTTTCAGATTTTTTTGAATGTGTGGAAGTAGTATTTTTCGCTGAAAACAAACTAAAGAGCTCTGTGGAGCTCGGCCTGTGCTATGTTTTTTCGGTCTCTACTTCGCTACGCCGCTCTGTTTTTGCGGGATCGATCTTGCTGCGCGCCTCCATTTTGTTGGGTACTCCATCTCAGCTCGGCAGTCGAGGTGGATCGGGCTGTGGAGATAGCGCCTGCGCCTCGTCCGTGGACGGACGCCTTGGTGCCACGTATACATTACTAGCTCGCGCGCTGTGTGTTTGGTCACGGCACGAGCCGACGAGCCCGGCCGGAAATCCGCCGCCCGCCTTCGACGACCTTTCAGGCTCATCGGTCTGGCCACTTGAATGCGCTTGCTTCGTTCGAATAAAGATAAACGCCCATGTCATGTCATGGCCACCGCTTTCCAGGCGGGGGCCCCATTTGTCAGTCAGTAGGACGTCACGATCGAAGAGCACTCTCGCTAGTCTCCACTCTGTCTGATACTGAAATGATCGAGAGACTTGAGCCCGTCACGCATGACGCCAGAGTCCGGTAGATAGATACGATACTAGTACGATCTTCTCGGCGCCGAATGGAACCAACGGCGAAGTGTCACGTTGACCCCCAGACTCGGCGAGCCGGGTTTGCACCGGAGGCGTTGGTTGATTTGGTCGTGCCGGTCGCTACGGGCCCATCGGGGCAAGCTCCGATAATGCTACACCTACGAAGCCTAATGTAAATCTCTTACTAACCTTCCATCAATTCTTCTCTCTTCTGATTTTAAGTGGAATGAGGCCCGCCTTCTCTCTAACCTCAATCATAACCTGCCAGCTGTCTAATTACGTAAGATTACCTTAAACCATTCCTAGGTGTAGCATTACCCGGGCAAGCTCTTGACACTGTGCAACGTCACTTCAGTTGAAGTTTCATCGGCGGTACCGTACGTGGTACAGACACACATCTGGTGTGTCACTGTATATATATACCAAACAAGAAGAGACGGCGACGGGTCCGGTTGGCCGCTTTTCTCCCCTCTCTCTCACGTTGGTACGTGTGGTCGATCGGCACTAGTTTTGTTTTCGCCGCGATGCGTCGACAGCTCAACACATCATCCCGGTCCAAGTTTTCAACGATGCATGCTACCGTGTACGGTGTACCCAACCCATGGTGTACTCGGGAACAGGCCATCGTCATCTGTCAGTCCGTCCACGGAGCGGACGGGGGATCCCTCTCTCAATCGAGAGAGAATATTCGCGTCACGTGTTTGACTACGCCGGACGAGATAGATCATGTGGCAGCGCCGCCCAAATCGGATCGCACCACGCGAATGGTCTGCACGGTGCTACGTGCTCGCTTGCCACGAACCCAAACGCAGCGGCCTCGACTCTCGTGCGTGCTCCCTGCCCCCTCGTAAGATTAGCCGGCGACACGTTGGTACGCAGGTTTACCTCACCGCTGATGCAGCTAATGCCTAGGGATGGCCAGAGGAAAGGAGACCCATAAGCCATAGTAGAGCATAAACAAACAAGAGCAAAATGAAGCAAATCTTGCCTGCCGCTCACGCCTTTGCATACTAAATATTATTATCACCTTTCCCGTCCTTTTGATCGCTTGCGTAGAGACTTAGAGAGTGGAGTAGGAGCACTGGTACTACCACTGGTACCATACAGCGGATCGCTCCGTTCCAACGGATTCTTCGGGCGCACATGATCCATCCATCACCGATCTTGATCTACCGCGCCCATTTCCCCTTGACCTCCACGTGAACCGGAGTACGTGCGCGCTGAGCGCAGGCTCACGCCATTTTCCGTCGCTTTCCCCGGTCCAACGTCACTGCATAGCTAGCGACCAGCAAATAAGGGCTAGTTTGGTTGGATGCCTGGGTAAAACTAGAGCCTGGTGTGCGCCTGAAAACTCCAAAGAAACTGCCTGGTCAGGCTAGCCTGCATGCGACTTGTTTGGTACGTGTCCACAGCCTGACCTGCTATTATCAGCCAATAAACAACTACTAGCCTGTGGCCCCACTGAACTGCATGCAAGGGAAGGTGAGATTAGCATCCAGGCACAACCCAGGCTACCGATTCCCAGCGCCTGGGCCAGGCTAACACACGCGCCTGGTGACTCAACCAGGCTAATGGCCATGCAAGACGCTCCAGGCCAGGCTAGTAGTTGAATTCCCAGGATAGCAACCAAACATACTCCAGGCTAGTAGTTGAATTCCCAGGATAGCAACCAAACATACTCCAGGCTAGTCTCAGGCACGCTTCAGGCCAGGTAAATTTTAGCCAGGTCTCCAACCAAACTAGCCCCAAGGCCCTCGCGCGGGCGCTACCGCTCTAGCGGAGCCCTGTATAAAGGATAGAGCTATAGCCGCCGGCCTCGGCGCACTTGTTGAGTGGTGCACCTGGATCGAGTAGGGAGCTGTTGGTCGTGGAGAGAGAGATGGGGTCGTTGGGGAAGGATGCGGCGGGGGAGCGGGTGGTGCTGGCGGTGAACGGCGTGCGGCGCGAGGCCGCCGGCGTCGACCCGTCGACGACGCTGCTGGAGTTCCTCCGCACGCGCACGCCCGTCCGGGGGCCCAAGCTCGGCTGCGGCGAAGGTGAGCACCCCCAACACCAACCGGCTCTCCATTCCATTATTAGCTAGCTTCATTTTATCCTTGCGGTTTCGATCGGTGAGAATCTTATCAGATGAATGGTCCAAAGCTCCGAACCGACGAGTCGTTGGGAGAGTTCATCTGCCATCGTTTTCAGTTTACCGACCGGACTCCTGCTCCTGGATCGCCTGGTCGCCGATCTCTCTCCACACGCGCGCGCAGGCGTAGGGAATCAAACCACGAAACACGCAGAAAGGGAGAAGCAAAATATGTGCACGTAGCCACCACGGCACATACAGTACCCATTCTTGGGCCAGCAACCACATCGGTGCTGCTTCTTCTCTCATTTTGTGCTACCTAATATAATACCTACCCATTCATCACGAACCACAGAAATGTCGAGCGCTTCCTCTTTCTGCAAATCCCATCGCTTTCTCCTCCTCGTCGCACACCGATTCTAGCTAGGACCCATCATGTCCGTGTGGAATATATTCTGTTTGTTCTCTTCTTTTGGTGCTAGCTCATTCATCAAAAAAAAATTCGGACGGAGGGAGTACTAGGTCATTCATCACTGCACCATGCACAAGTCCACAGCTATGCATGTCAGGGCACTTGTTCCTTGCACCTTCCAGCTGCTCTCAACACTTTGGCAGCACCTCCAATCAAAGTCCAATCAAACTTTCAAGTGTGTTGACTGTTGACGTATAAATACATAGCTCATCTTTTTCCACCAGCTTGAGCTTTTGGGTGAACTGGCTGATGCGTGCAGCTTTACAGAGTGCACTCGCTAGCGATGATAATTCGGATATTTTCTATCTTTCACTTTAAGTTCGAGATAATATAGAATTAATAAACCGATAGGCCGGACAATTGGTACTTCACCGTTCAATCAGGCACCATGGAGTGAAAAGGCCGGATACGCTAGCTGCCGATCTGCTTTTCTCCTAGTGGAGCAGGCATGCAGCATGAGCATGCACCTATCCCAAATTATTGGACCTAATATATTCTCCGATTTGCAATTGTTAATCTTTCTTTTGTTAGGTGGTCAGGTCCCATATGCTGCTGCAGCTAACCATCTTAGAAAACTCTTGGCACGCGTATCAGCTTGCTACATATACAGCGACAGTGTTTCAGACTTTCAGCGGCATGCTTCGGCCCATATCATTGTACCAGATGCTTGTCCTTCTTATATTGACATACACATATATATGACTTTACAGGAACAGCCCACTAATCAGACCATAGGCAGGTTCCACACACAACAATATTTATCTTCATTTTGTGCGACTTACCTTTTTCGGAAAGGGACGCTTAATTACTTAAAAGGTTTAAGCATTACACCCGGCCTCTGCATAACTATAATGCACACAGCCAAACAAGTTCTCTCACACGAACGAAAATTAAGAAGGCGAAATACAAAGAAACAGAGTATGTATAACGCCTAAAGCGAAGGTGGGCCAATCCTAAGATCATTGCTGTGCGACCTACCTACGGTAGCTACCAGCGCTAGCGCACATTCATCAGGAACTACAAAAAATGTCGAGGGCTTTCCTTTTCTGCAAATCGTATTGCTTTCTCCTGCTCCTCCTCCTCGGCGCGTACCGATCTAGCTAGGACCCGTAATGTCCGTGTGGAATATATTCTGTTGCTCTCTTCTCTTGGTGCTGGCTAGGCAGCTATCGCTATCGTTCATTCATCGACGCACCACGAGTCCACGAGTATGTATGTCGGGCCACTTGTTCCCTGCACTTTCCAACTGCTCTCGACACTTTGACAGCACAGACAGCAATCAAAGAGAGTACCTAGCCAAAAACGCCTAGTGTATGTATGCTCGAAATTGACACTTCCTTTCAAGTGCGCCCGGCTACCGATGGTTCGGAGATTTAGTACTCCCTTCGATCTACTAAAGCTACGACAATTAATTTGGATCGGAGCCAGTAGTATCTTTCGCTTTATGCTTGAGATAACATGTAGTAGTAGTATTGAGAAGGCAATTGGGTGCAGAATTAGTACTACTTCACAGTTCAATCAGGCATGATGGAGTGAAAAGGCCGGATACGCTAGCTGCCGTCCTACTTCTCTCCTAGTGGAGCAGGCATGCAGCATGAGCATGCACCCATCCCAAATTATTGGACCTAGTATATTCTCCGTTTTGCAATTGTCAATCTTTCTTTTGTTAGCTGGTCAGGTCCCATACGCTGCGGCCTGCAGCTAACCATCTTAGAAAAACCAGGCGCGTGTTTCAGTTTGCTATACATATATAGCGGCAGTGTAGTCAGTAGCATGCTTTGGCCCATATCATTGTCCCAGATGCTTTCTGTCCTTACATTGATAACGACTTTACATGAACAACACACTAATCAGACCATAGGATCCACACACACACACACACACACACACACACACACACACAAAATAGAGAAACTTTAAAATTGCCGTAGGCTCCACAATTGACTCATCTTGTAGCGAAAACTCAGAGGACTTCATGAAAATCTGTACTCTCTCTGACTGTCGTTTGTTCACGAGTATTTAACCAAAAACTACCACAATTCACGGAAACGTGACAGAAAACTATCACTTTACGATTTTGTCCCGAAAACTACCACTTTTTTATTAATCCGTGACAAAAACCTACCAAGTGTGAAAACTGCTCACTTTGTCTGGGTTAAACGCGAATCTGACTGCCCGACCCCACAAATAAACAGGCTAAAAATGCAATCGGGTCCCTAATTTTTCTTCAAAAAAGCAATCGGGTCCTCCGCCTCCTTCTCCTCCTCGTCGCCGGCCTCCTCCTTCCCCAGCCGCTTGCCCAGCGAGACGTTGGCGGCGTGCAGGCCGACGGAGCCGGCGACGAGCTCGGCGCGCTCGCCGACCGCGATGCTCCTGGGGACGTTGAACACGAGCCGGCAGCCGGGGACACCACAGGCGATGCTCACCCCGGCGCGCAGACGTCCCCGAAGAGGGAGGTGCTGCTGGAGGCGATGACGCAGACCGCGTCGAAGGACCCCGCGCCGCCCAGCTCCTCGCAGGTCCGCGCGCTCGCCGCGCCGTCCCGGCACGGCAGCTCCGACTCCGGGTCCTCCGCGCCGCCCCCGCCGTGGACCCCGTACGGGAGCCGCGCGAGGCTGTCCTCGCGCCGCAGCGCCAGCGCCGTCGCGGAGACGCGGCTGTCGCCAATCAGCCCGGCCGACACCGCGGCGAGCAGCGCGGCCCAGCAGGCGAGGCGGCTCGCCGCCGCCGAGCGCTCCGGGCCCCGAATCATGGCTCAGCAGCGCATTCTAGGCGGGGAGAAGCGGTCCGAGCGAGCACCGGAGCGGGGCGGGCGGGCAGCGCCCCCGATTCGCGGCGGGTGGCGGCGGAGGAGGAGGAGGCGGAGGACCCGATTGCTTTTTTAAGAAAAAGTAGGGACCCGATTGCATTTTTAGCCCGTTTATGTGTGGGGTCGGGCAGTCAGATTCGCGTTTAACCCAGGCAAAGCGAGCAGTTTTCACACTTGGTAGTTTTTTGTCACGGATTAATAAAAAAGTGGCAGTTTTCGGGACAAAATCGTAAAGTGATAGTTTTCTGTCACGTTTCCGCGAATTGTGGTAGTTTTTGGTTAAATACTCTTTGTTCACCAAATCAAAATAAAACAAAATATGGTTTTATTTGACCCTAGCTAGGTAAACACACTTACACACTTCTCTAACTGAATTTGCAATTCTGCACCTGCAATGCCATTATGTACCGCATGAGAAATGTACCGTATAAGAATACCACATAGAGTGAATTAGTGGAAATTAAACATGCCATGAGTATGGAATTAAGAATTAGTCTTGTTCACCTTAAACAGCGAGCCATCGATGGAAGTATCGTCGACGACTTAGATCAAAAGTATTACACCAACTCGTCATTATTTTGGTATAAAATAGTAATGGTATGGGTGCAAAGTACATTGAGCTAACATGCATAAATAAACAAAAACAATGTAATCGTCGATGTTTTTATATTAAAAGCATGTGTTCCCTTTTAAGAAAGCAAAGGACATGGCATATTATTTTAAAAAAGTATCACATAAAAAACAATTTCTTGAAGTACTGAAAGAACAACTTTAAGTATGCATAATGAACTAAGAAAGTACTTAATTATGAGACAATAATTAACATAATTAAGGGAGGTGACAATTGTTCACAGCCATCGGATAAATACTTAAAGAAATTGGGTTAAAAGGTTTGGACGACTCAAATGAAAAATATCCCAAGTGATTCATGCTTTTAAAATCGGTACAATACATACACAAATGTACAGTATGCCAATTGCTAAATGTGTGCATCTTTTGGTCCTGGCCTTGGCCTTCTTTTGTTGTGGGTGGTAGCTCCATCACTTGCCTCCATGAACATTAAACCGTAAAAGCATATCTTAAAGTTCCATAATATCTAATTCGTTTTACAACATATATAAGATGTCAACACATATGTTCACGCCTTCTATCTTTGTGCAAACGTTTCATAGAGACATGATAGGTCACAATACTTTTGTCCTTCCCAGGAAACTTCAGACATCTAAATGACTAGCATATAGGACATGCCTTTTTATTTTACACTCAGCAAATTATTTGTTCTATTCAGGAGCAAATTATTCCATTCAGCAAATATTTTTCTTTTATGTTTTTGAAGGAATGTTCTTTCTCATTTTATATGATTCGTCTCGCCTGGTGTGTTTCTAATTAACGACGACGTCACGTTGCTGCGCGCAGGTGGGTGCGGCGCATGCGTGGTGCTCATCTCCAAGTACGACCCGGCCACCGACGAGGTGACCGAGTTCTCCGCGAGCTCCTGTCTGACGCTCGTAGGCAGCCTCAACCACTGCTCGGTCACCACCAGCGAGGGCATCGGCAACACCCGCGATGGCTACCACCCCGTCCAGCAGCGCCTCGCCGGCTTCCATGCCTCCCAGTGCGGCTTCTGCACCCCCGGCATGTGCATGTCCATCTTCTCCGCCCTCGTCAAGGCCGACAAGCCCGGCGCCGCCGGGGAGCCCGCCCCACCGCCGGGGTTCTCCAAGCTCACGTCGTGCGAGGCGGAGCACGCAGTCTCCGGCAACCTCTGCCGATGCACGGGCTACAGGCCCATCGTTGACGCCTGCAAGAGCTTCGCCGCCGACGTCGACCTCGAAGACCTCGGGCTCAACTCCTTCTGGAAGAAGGGCACCGACCGCGCCGACGTCGGCAAGCTGCCGGAATACACCAGCGGCGCCGTCTGCACCTTCCCGGAGTTCCTCAAGTCTGAGATCAAGGCCTCCGTTGATCAGCAGACGAACAATGTGCCGGCGGCGATAGCCAGCGAAGATGGCTGGTACCATCCCAGGAGCATCCAGGAGCTCCATTGCCTCTTCGACTCCAACTGGTTCGACGGAAATTCAGTCAAGATCGTGGCGTCAAACACCGGCGCCGGAGTGTACAAGGATCAAGACCTCTATGAAAAGTACATCGACATCAAAGGGATCCCGGAGCTCTCCGTCATCGACAGGAGCAGCAAGGGGGTGGAGATCGGGGCAGCCGTGTCCATCTCCAAAGCCATCGAGGTCTTCTCCGATGGCACTCCGGTCTTCAGAAAGATCGCCGGTCACCTCAGCAAGGTGGCCTCGCCGTTCGTCCGGAACACGGCGACCGTCGGCGGGAATGTGATCATGGCGCAGCGGCTGCAGTTCCCATCCGACATCGCCACCGTTCTTCTCGCTGCCGGCTCCACGGTCACCATCCAAACGGCTTCCAAAATGCTGTGCCTGACGTTGGAGGAATTTCTGGAGCAGCCTCCCTGTGATGCCAAGACCATACTGCTCAGCATATTTGTCCCTGACTGGGGTTCAGACAATGTCATCTTCGAGACATCTCGTGCAGCCCCCAGACCATTCGGCAATGCTGTGTCCTATGTGAATTCTGCATTCCTGGCAAGGACTTCAGGGGATGCAGCAACAGGGGAGCTCATCGTCGACGAAATCTGCCTCGCGTTCGGCGCCTACGGTGTCGATCACGCGGCACGGGCTCGGAAGGTGGAGGAATTCTTGAAGGGGAAATCAATGAGTGCATCTGTGATACTTGAAGCGGTTCGGTTGCTGAAAGATGTTATCTCGCCGTCAGAAGGCACCACACACCCTGAGTACAGAGTCAGCCTGGCTGTCAGTTTCTTGTTCAGTTTCCTGTCTTCACTTGCTACCGACCTGGATGAACTGGCGAAGGCTATTACTCCCAATGGTTTATCTACTAATGGAACTATGAATCGAAATGGCGCATCCTCGCTAGAAAAGCAAAGTAAGGTTGCCAGCAATGATTTGCCGATCCGCTCAAGGCAGGAACTGGTTTTCACCGAAGAATATAAACCTGTCGGCAAGCCATCCACAAAAGCGGGGGCCGAGCTACAAGCTTCTGGTATACTCCTATACTCTGATTCCAGTTTGCTTCTTAAGGTGTCTTTTTTTTTTAGGAATTCTTACATAGTTTGTGGTTACCAGTCTAAAACATCTTTTGATAGTCTTCCTTAAAGACCCAAACCATTTGGTAGTTCTTTTTGTTCATTGTACATTAGTTCAAACAATGCTCAACCATCTGCTATCTTTCCTCTGCTATTGCACACTAGTTTCTATTCTGAAGCATGCACTTGACAATATTTTTGGTTCTTGTTCAGGGGAGGCTGTGTATGTTGATGACATCCCTGCTCCCAAGGATTGCCTCTACGGAGCATTTATCTACAGCACACACCCTCATGCCCATATCAAAGGCGTCAACTTCAAATCATCTCTGGCTTCAAAAAAGGTCATCACCGTTATCTCCGCAAAGGACATTCCTGCCGGTGGAAGGAATATTGGATCCAGCTTCCCGGGGCTAGGAGATGAACCGCTATTCGGTGATCCGGTTTCTGAATTTGCCGGTCAAAATATTGGCGTTGTGGTACGTACCTATTTCTGAACCACTTGAACTCAGTTTCAGAAAAGAAAAATGCACAACCAGTACTACTGTAATGTTTTACCCAAAATTTTGAGGGATAGAACTGACCATATTATTATCGTGTTGGTTTGCCATCAATCAGATTGCTGAAACACAGAAGTATGCCTATATGGCGGCGAAGCAAGCCGTTATCGAGTATAGCACCGAGAACCTTGAGCCGCCCATCCTGACAATAGAGGATGCCATCCAACATGACAGCTACTTCCATCCTCCCCCGTTTTTGGCTCCTAAGCCAGTTGGGGATTTCGAGCAAGGGATGTCTGAAGCTGATCACAAGATCTTATCAGGAGAGGTACATAGTTCAGTTTAGTAGGATGTTTGTCTATATTCATAGTTTCAGACAAGGATCATTACATAACATCATTATCAATTTTCAACAGGTGAAACTTGAATCACAGTACTACTTCTACATGGAGACTCAGACCGCCTTGGCCATCCCCGACGAAGATAACTGCATCACCGTCTACGCCTCGACGCAGATACCCGAGGTCACGCAGAATGTCGTCGCGGACTGCCTCGGCATTCCGTATCACAATGTTCGCATCATCACAAGAAGAGTTGGCGGCGGCTTCGGTGGGAAGGCAATGAAAGGATGCCATGTAAGTGGAGGCCCCAACCATTCAATCAGAGGTTTACAGTAACAAAAAGTTTACAATCTTCTGACCATGGAGGAAATGTTTGTGTTTTCAGGTGGCATGTGCGTGTGCAGTTGCAGCGTTCAAGCTGCGGCGCCCTGTCCGGATGTACCTCGACCGCAAGACGGACATGATCATGGCCGGAGGGCGGCACCCGATGAAGGTGAAGTACTCCGTGGGGTTCAAGTCGGACGGCACACTCACGGCGCTGCACCTCGACCTCGGGATCAACGCTGGGATATCGCCGGATGTGAGCCCGGCGCTCCCGTCGGCCATCGTCGGTGCTCTGAAGAAGTACAACTGGGGCGCCCTGGCCTTGGACGTCAAGGTGTGCAAGACGAACGTCTCGTCCAAGTCAGCCATGCGCGGCCCCGGCGACGTGCAGGGCTGCTTCATCGCGGAGGCCATCATCGAGCACGTCGCGTCGGCGCTCGCGGCCGACACCAACACCGTCCGGAGGAAGAACCTCCACGGCTTCGAGAGCCTCACGAAGTTCTACGGCGACGCCGCCGGCGAGGCCTCGACGTACAGCCTCGTTGAAATCTTCGACAAGCTGGCCGCGTCGCCGGAGTATCGGACCAGGGCGGCCGTGGTGGAGAGGTTCAACGGCGGGAGCAGGTGGAAGAAGCGGGGCATCTCGTGCGTGCCCATCACGTACGAGGTGAGGCTCCGGCCGACTCCCGGGAAGGTGTCCATCCTGAACGACGGGTCCATCGCCGTCGAGGTCGGCGGCGTGGAGATCGGGCAGGGGTTATATACCAAGGTGAAGCAGATGACGGCGTTCGGGCTGGCTGAGCTCTGCTCCGACGCCGACGAGCTCCTCGACAAGGTGCGTGTCATCCAGGCCGACACGCTGAGCATGATCCAGGGCGGCTTCACCGGCGGGAGCACCACCTCCGAGACCAGCTGCGAGGCGGTCCGGCTGTCGTGCGCCACGCTTGTGGAGCGGCTCAAGCCCATCAAGGAGAGCATCGAGTCCAAGTCCGGCGCCCCTGCGCCATGGAAGGCCTTGATTACCCAGGCGACCATGGCGAGCGTGAACCTGTCGGCGCAGGCGTACTGGACGCCTGACCCAGCCTTCGTGAAGTACATCAACTACGGAGCCGCCGTCAGCGAGGTACCATGATCGATGATCCAAACTCCAAAGATCCAAATCGCAACAACAAGGGATCCTAATGTCTGATTCTGATTGGGAATTTGCCCCAATTGCAGGTGGAAATCGACGTGCTGACCGGAGCGACGACGATCCTGAGGAGCGACCTGGTGTACGACTGCGGGCAGAGCCTGAACCCGGCGGTGGACCTCGGTCAGGTGAGCTCGCCGCCGATCGGCACAGCCACTTGCTGTTGCTGAGATTGTTGAAAGCTGAATTGTTTCTTGGTTGATGGATCAGGTGGAGGGCGCATTCGTGCAAGGGGTTGGGTTCTTCACCAACGAGGAGTACACGACGAACGCCGACGGGCTGGTGGTGAACGACGGCACATGGACGTACAAGATCCCCACGGTGGACACGATCCCGAAGCAGCTAAACGTGGAGCTCCTTACCAGCGCGCGCGACAAGAAGCGGGTGCTCTCCTCCAAGGCGTCCGGCGAGCCGCCGCTGCTGATGGCGGCGTCGGTGCACTGCGCGATGCGGGAGGCTATCAGGGCGGCCAGGAAGGATTTCTCGGCCAGCTCGCCGCTGACGTTCCAGATGGACGTGCCGGCGACCATGGCCGACGTCAAGGAGCTCTGCGGCCTCGACGTCGTAGAGAGGCACCTCCAGAGCCTCTCCTCTGCGGCCGCCGGTCCCAACGCCGGCGTCGAGGCGTGATGGTACTATGTGTAAGTTATGTAGAAACGTGACACGTGCACTGTAATGACACGACCGAAGGTTTGGGACGCTGCTTGTCTGCGGTGTGTATAGAAAAAAGAGATCATACAGCTATGGACGTGCATCAATCTTAAGCGTTGGATTTCATCTAACGGCAGACATGCACGTGCTTGGATTCTGCTTGAAAAAAGAACTTCAGTTTCTGTTACAAATCTGAGCAGTGGTGTACCCATCCATGAGGTAGATCAAAGTTACTCCCCTCGCTCAGTGTTGGAGATTGATCACAAACCGGGAGTCCATTTGTGCTCGTATTTTGAAGGCAAAATATCTTCATTCACATGGAAGAGTTTGGTGGCTGGTTTGACAACGTTTAAAAGGGGGTACATTTGGCGAATTGGTTTGGGAAAAATGTAAGTATCTGGAATGATCCATGGATATTTCAAGGGTGGTAGAGCTTATTGATCCAGTCACCACTCGTTGGGATGAACAATTGATACGAGACATATTTTTACCATGTCATGCAAATACCACTAAATTTCCAAGCATTTGATGATTTCATTGTGTGACATCTCACAAAGCATTGAAAAATTCTCGGTGAGGAGTGCTTGTCATCAACAATGGTCACACCAGTTTAGGGGTCAACCCCTTGTGAATTCAGCGTCCACCAGTAAGCAGGGATTTGGAAGAAGCTCTGGGAGTTATAGGTGCCACATAATATACAAATCTTTTGCTGACGTGCCTTGCAAGGAATTATCCGGCTAAACTCCATACTCGCTAATAGGCACATCCCTATCGATGAGGCGTGTCCGGTGTGCCATAGGGGCCCTGGAGACATGCGGCATATGCTTTTCCAGTGTGACTTGGCGAGGAGCTTGTGAGCCGGACTAGGGCTGGCTAATCGCATTGAACATGCAATACAAGTGGACCGATCATGGTCAACCATCTTAGAATTTCTCGTGTTGGAACTGGACCAACCAATGACGATCATGCCAAGTATAAATGACAAGGAGGTAATCGCGGCAGGCTGCTGGTATCTTTGGTGGCTTCACCGATGACACACCCATCATGATTCATTTCCTCCTTACTTCAGCTGGCATACCTCAATCCTGGCAATAACGGGAAACTATATGAAATCTTTATCAAAGAAGCCGGAACCGGTGGAACACAAGTAATAGAGATCAGAGGCAAGATTTATAAAGCTAAATGTGGATGCTCCATTCCATGCAGATGAAGGATCAGGTGCTACTGTTGGTATCTTATGAGATGAAAAAGGAAGCTTTATTGCAGGGCTTTGTAGATTCGTTCCCTTGGTGGCTGACGTTGCCGCGATTGAAGCAATGCCAATGCGAGATGATTTAAATTTCACGAACTCCTTGGGTTTCAACGGGGTAGAAGTAGAGCCGTACTCCCGTCATCAACTGTTGCCGAGGACAAGACCAGTGGTGGGATGCAGCGGTGGTTTGTCTTCGCTGAGTGCATAGATATGACTACTTATATAGGAAAGGTCATCTTTACTCATTGTTTTTGTTAAGCAAATTTGGTTGCTCATGAGCTAGGAAAGTTTAGTTTTTGTAATAAATGTGAGGATAGTTGGACTAACAAACCTCCGAAGTTCTTAGTTAGCCAATTGGTGAACGATGTAATTATTATTTGAGGTTAATAAAGCTAGTCATGATGGACTTTGCCCCCAAAAAAGTTACCCCCCTTGTGAAAAAAGTAGGGTTCTCTCTCCTCCGACACGCCGCCATCGTGAGTTTATCCCTCCCACCTCCGCAACCGACCCCCCCTGTCACCATGTACTAGGGTTGTATGAGATTTCCTTGCGGTCCTTCCCGGCCTTGGCCGATGGGCACGCCTGTAGTTAGGTGCGCGGTCTTGGTGACCTTTGAGAGTTAGGTTTTACAATGATGGGGTGAAAATGGTGTTCCCACGGAGGCGGAGAAGGAGAGCATGTCGGATCTTCTCGCCATACTTAAACCGCAGGAGGAAGAGGATGACAAATTCATCTAGGAAGATGAGGTGATTGACAAGATTGAGTCAACAAAGTCGTTGGCGATCGTTAGGGTGCACACGTCCAAAGGCTTTTGCCCAAGTGCACTCTATGGGAACATGAGGTTGGCGTGGAACCCATCAACAATAATAACCTCTTCAAGGTGCACTTTGAATGTCCAGCTGATTGGAAGAAGGCTATGTTCAATGGCCCATTGCTATTATGTGGCCATGGTCTCATCCTGACTGAATATGACGGGTTCAAACATCAGGGGACAATGAAGCTTGATAGATTGGTGGTTTGTGGTCAAATTCATAAACTCCCAGACAATTATCTCGTTGACGCGGTGGTTCATGAAGTGTAGAAGGTCTAGTTGACACTTCCATCAGATTTGTTTGGTGAGTTTGTCAGGGTGAAGCTCAAGATCGACGTGTATGCAAAGATCTAGCGTTTTGTTTTGGCAACAAAGGCATAGGGATATGTTATCAAGTGAAACATGAGAAATTTCCCACATACTACCAAAATTGTGGGGACTTTGGCCATTGGCATGAGGAATGCGGGGACTATGAACATGATGAATCAACCTTTGAGCGGGGAGATTTAAAATTGGCTCATAATATGAGAAACACGATGGGAGGAGCAGGTCGAGGAAATATGGAAGGTCATGGTGGCCCAGGAGGATCTTGGGGCCGCGACACATGAAGGGTAATTTTGATTGAACAAATAGATGGTGCTTCAATGCATATAAGGAAGGAAATATGCCCTAGAGGCAATAATAAAGTTGTTATTTTATATTTCCTTATATCATGATAACTGTCTATTGTTCATGCTAAATTGTATTAACCGGAAACTTGATACATGTGTGAATACATAGACAAAACACCGTGTCCCTAGTATGCCTCTACTTGACTAGCCCATTGATCAAAGATGGTTAAGTTTCCTAGCAATGTACATGTGTTGTTATTTGATGAACGGGGTCGCATTATTAGGAGAATGATGTGATGGACAAGACCCATCCGTTAGCATAGCATAATGATCATTCAGTTTTATTGCTACTGCTTTCTTCATGTCAAATACACATTCCTCCGACTATGAGATTATGCAACTCCCGGACATCGGAGGAATGCCTTGTGTGCTATCAAACGTCACAACGTAACTGGGTGATTATAAAGATGCTCTACAGGTATCTCCAAAGGTGTTTGTTGGGTTCACATAGATCGAGATTAGGATTTGTCACTCCGAGTATCGGAGAGGTATCTCTGGGCCCTCTTGGTAGTACACATCTTATGAAGCCTTGCAAGCAATGTGACTAATGATTTAGTTACATGATGATGCTTTACAGAACAAGTAAACAAACTTGTCGATAACGAGATTAAACTAGGTATGAAGATACCAACGATCGAATCTCGGGCAAGTAACATATCGATGAGAAAGGGAATAACGTATGTTGACACTGCGGTTCGACCGATAAAGATCTTCATAGAATATGTGGGAACCAATATGAGCATCCAGGTTCTGCTATTGGTTATTGACCAGAGAGGTGTCTCGGTCATGTCTACATAGTTCTCGAACCCGTAGGGTCCGCACGCTTAACGTTCGATGCGATATGTATTATATGAGTTATGTGTTTTGGTGGTCGAGGATGAGATCACGGACATGACGAGGAGTCTCAAAATGGTCAAGAGGTAAAGATTGATATATTGGAAGGTAGTATGCGGACACTGGAAGGGTTCTGAAGTGTATCGGGTACAAACCGGAGTACCGGAGGGGTTACCGGAACCCCCCGGTGGAAGATATAGGCCATATGGGCCATAGGAGGGAGGCTAACCAGCCCACAAAGGGCTGGTGCACCCCCCACAAGGGAGGAGGCTGAATTGGACTAGGGAAGGGGGTGCCACCCCCCTTTCCTTCTCCTACTCCCTCTCCTCCCCCCTTTCCCCCTCCGGAAAAAGGAAGGGGGCCGAATCCTAGTGGGAGTCCTAGTAGGACTCCCCCACTTGGGCGCGCCTAGGCCGGCCTCCTCCCCCTCCCTCCTTTATATACAGAGGGGGGCGCCCCTATGAGACACAACAATTGCTCTTAGCCGTGTGCGGCGCCCCCCTCCACAGTTTACGCCTCCGGTCATATTCTCGTAGTGCTTAGGTGAAGCCCTGCGCGGATCACATCACCGTCACCATGCCGCCGTGCTGACAGAACTCATCTACTCATTCGACCCTCTGCTAGATCAAGAGCTTGAGGGACGTAATTGCACTGAACGTGTGCAGAACTCGGAGGTGTCGTATGTTCGGTACTCGATCGGTCGGAACGAGAAGAC